GCATGGATATAGCAGTCCATATATTTAAATTGGCTGCTGGAAATGCAGGAAAAAGGTCCCTGCACCTCTTTAACCTTTTCCCGCATGCATACATGTGGCCTCTCGGTGGGTGACCCCTAAAGTGGTTGTAAAGGTTGACGGGTTTAATCTTCACGCATTCTATACATGAAGGTAAAAAACCTTCTGTGTGCAGCAGTGCCCCCAGCCCCCTCAATACTTACCTGAGCCCCATCACAATCCAGCAATGTGCAAGACAGCCTTGGCTGTCCTGGGTCTCTACCTCCTCATTGGCTGAGACAGCAAGTGGGAGCCATTGGCTCCCGCTGTTGTCAATCACAGCCAGACAGCCAATAAGGAGAGAGGGCAGGGCCAAGTCACAACTTTGTGTGTGAATGGACACACGGAGCAGCAGGTGCCCCCCCTAGCAAGACAGGAGGAGCCAGGAGAGCCTGCGGGGGACCCAAGAAGAGTAGGATCCAGGCTGCTCTGTGCACACTGCAGGTAAGTGTAGATATGTTTGTTGCACAGCACAGCCATGCAAAGCAGTGTGCTTACAGTGAAGCACAAACACAGCACACAGTTATAAACAGCACACATTTAACCCTTTGATCACCTCAGATCTTAACCCCTTCCTGCCCAGAGCAATTAGTACAGTGTCAGTGCTTTTTATTAGCACTGATTACTGTATTGGTGTCACTGGGGATGTCAGTGACACCAAGTCAGTTCCCCCCAGTATCAGAATGTCCGCCGCAGTCCCACAATAAATCGCTGATCGCCGCCATTACTAGTAAAAATAAAAACCCAGTCTCTGCACCGCCATTTGAAAGCACTATAACTGTCACAAAAACCAATTAATTTACATGTATTGGGTTTTTTTTTTAGCAAAGACATGTAGCAGAATACATTTTGGCCTAAATTTATGACGAAATTTGATTTTTAATTTTTTTTTACTGGACGTGTTTAATAGCAAAAAGTCCAAAATATTGTTTTTTCTCAAAATTGTTGGTCTTTTTTTTCTATAGAGCAAAAAAATAAAAACCACACAGGCAATAAAATACATCCGAAAAAAAGATGCAAATGTCATTTGGGTGCAGCGTTGCATGACCGCGCAATTGTCTGTTAAAGTAACGCAGCGCCATAATGCAAAAAATGGCCTGGTCAAGAAGGGGGTTAAATCCTCAGGAGGGCAAGAGGTTAATGCCACGACCACATATATGCGTACCAAAACAAAAACAGAAACTGTACCGAGAGCGCACACCGTTACCGATCAGGAGCTTTGTGCTTATGTGACCGCTGCGTCAGCCAATCACGATGGTCCCATGATCACGAACCCCGCCTCCTGGCATCTAATACCCCTTAAAGGGCTGGGAGGTGCTGGCACCAGGGGGTTAAAATCGCAGGCACATGGAAATCGCAATGTGCTTTTGCTCCATATGATTTACTGCACCTGAAAACTTGCTATTAAGAATGAATGCATCCCTGAGTGTCTAACAAGCATGCGTCTTGCCTGCGGGTTCAGGAATGTGCGCGATTTACACGCATTCCCACACGTGAACCTAGCCTTACACATATGTTTTAAAATGCTTGTTTTGGGAAATATAGCTTTTTAAAACAATCTTTCTCTTAAAGACAACAATTCGATACAAAGAAATATTCCAACTGACTTAAATCAAGTTGGTTTTCCACCAGGACAGCCCATTGTTTTTCGGGGAAACGGATTGTTCATTAAAATCACGGTTTCAGCACAGCCGGGTTCAGAACAATCGGATTCTTCATTTATCATGTGATCACTATTTGTACCGTCACCTTTGATGATAAATGGCGGATCAGTCACAGATTCTGAAGCTTCAGTTCATCTTTTCCTTGAAGATGGTCATTCGATACAACAGCGTTTGAGATGGTCCACTTTGATATGATGTTCTAGTTGTTCCTTATTGGTGGAAATCGCCACTTACTGACTGAACAGCTCATTTTGGGCAATTCATCAATCTATTGTCTCATTGATTGTATTGTTAGGTGTATGCCTAGAGCAAATAGAAGTTTGAATGACGGAAAAATTGATCATCGTTGGATTTCATGATTCATATGGGGTTCATTTATTTATTACAGGTACTTATATAGCGCTGTCAGTTTACGCAGCGCTTTACATATATATATTGTACATTCACATCAATCCCTAACCCTCAAGGGGTGTACAATCTAAGGTCCCTAACTTACATTCATACATACACATACTAGGGACAATTTAGACAGGAGCCAAATAACCTACCAGCATGTCTTAGGAGGGTGGGAGGAAACCGGAGTACCCGGAGAAAATCCACGCAGCCACAGGGAGAACATGCAAACTCCAGGCAGGTGGTGCCGTGGCTGGGATTAGAACAGACAACCATAATACTGCCAGGGGGAAGTGCTGACCATTTAGCCACTGTGCTGTCCATATACAGCTTTATTATCTGATCAATATGCGTTTTGATGAAAACAATTGTCGAACTATCAAATACAGATAACCTCCCTACTGATCGAATTCATTTAGATCAGATTTGATCGAACTAATGATGGTCAGATTCTTCAATTGATGTGTGATTCCATTAAAGCAAAGAAATTGGAAAAACGTTCAAATAGAAATAACTTTCCTTCTGATCAATTTAGATCCAATTTGAAAAAAATGAATGGTGGCCAGATGTGATGATTTTAATATCTGATCGATTCAATCAAAGCCATCGAATTGGAAAAAACATTCAAACAGCCATAACTTCCCGTCCGATCGATTTAGATCCGATTTGATCAGAGTCAATCGGCCAGGGCAGAAATGTAGAAATCATTTTGCATCAATTGGCAGTACTGGATGATTCATTTTATATTAGATCGGATTATGAGATTGCACAGTTGAAACAGAGACATAATCAATCATTTATGATCGTATCTTCCAATGAGCAATCAAATTCCACTGCCCTGGGTGTCTCATATGGATCAGTTGTGTCACCAGCTATAGAACGATTATTCCTATTGGGAGAGATGGATCAGAGAAGAAATGGATCATTTATTGAAGCGTGTATGACCACCATGAGTCGATCTGGCCAGGGTGGAAAATAATCAATTATGTCGCGTTGATGAGAAGCTTTGTTCATGAATGTAATAGTATTTCGATTGATCAGATTATGAGATTACATGGCAGAATCAGAGATGTGATCGTTTATGATCGTTCCTTCCTACTACCTCTTTGCTGTCATTTTGATTGAATGGACTTTGAATATGAATTGATTATTCTTATCGGGAGAGATTGATTGTGAAAGAAATGGATCATTTATTAAAGTGTGTATGACCACCATGAGTTGACCTGAGCAGGATGGAAAAGAATCGATTGTCTTGCATTGATCAGCAAAGCTGAGATTAACTCAGTCATATTTCGATCGATCAGGTTATGGGATTGTGCGGTGGAATAATGTAATGGATAATTATAATTGCATCTTCCTAATATTTTGTTGATGACTAAAGATAGATTGCTATCAGAGTGATTGGAAAAGAAATGGATCATTTATTGAAGTGTATGACAACAACGATTCGATCTTGGCAGGGTGGAAAATAATCGATCGTCTTGCATTGATCGGCAGCGCTGAGATACTTTGATCATGAACTCATTTGTATTTCAGTCAATCAGGTTATGAGATTACGTGATGGATAATTATGATTGCATCTTCCTAATATTGAGTCATTGATATAGATCGATTTTTCCTATCAGGAGAGATCGATTGGTAAAAAAAATCGATTGTCCATTGAAGTGTGCAAGACCACCATGAGTGGATCCAGCCAAGGTGGAAAATATTCGATGGTCTTGCATTGATTGGCAGCACTGAGAGCTCACATGGTGGAAAAGGGATTTCATTTATATACATGTTTGCATTTTCCCAGTATTGAGTCTTTGATATCGATCGATTTTTCCTATCAGGAAAGATCGATTGGAAAAGAAATGGATTGTTCATTGACGTGTGTCATGGTAAGTATTGGGAGCAGTTGTTGACTCGAGAGGAGAGATCCACAGACACAGCGATCCTTCCCATACAACACTTCACCCTTCTCCATCAGGGGACGGGGTCCAGCCCTGCAGATTGTCAGCTCTTCAGCCAATAATCCCTTGCCTGCAGATGTAGTGATTCCCCTGGCAGAGAAGCAGAATGCAGCCCTGCTGTAGTCACCCAGTGAGGGGATCAGGCTAGCTGAGAGAAGTGTGCCCGTCCCCCGCCGGCGCTGTGTCCGGCTCTCTCCCCTTTGTGTGGACGCCGGGTCAGCCCCCCCCCCCCGGACACAGGCACGTGTGGCGGCCCATTGAAGGGCAGTCAGGCGCAAGGATGGGCGGGGCCGGGCGTGTGCCTGCAGCCGGAGAGAGGCGGGGGCTCAGGTACATCTGCCGCCTGGCTCCCGGCCCGCCCTCCAGCGGCACTTCAGACGCCGGCTCGGCCCGCTATTGGCTGTCGCAGTGACAGCACGGCTCGTGCCGGGGACGCTGGCCGCTTATAAAGGAAGAGCGGCCCGAGGAGCGAGCGATCCGCACTGACAGCCCCGAGCCGCAGACATGCCCAAAGGATTCCTGGTGAAGAGGAGTAAGAAGTCTCCGCCGGTGTCGTACCGAGTGCGGGACGAAGACGAGGACCGAGCGCAGGCCGCCCCTCCGGCATGGATGCTGTACGCCGTGTCCGCCGTTCCCTGCCCTCTCGGGGGCTCCCCTCCTCTCCCGGCCAGCCCAGACCGAGCTGCCCCGGCTCTCCCCTGCAGCCCCCGGCCGCCCCCTGCCGGCCAGTTCGGGAACCCGGAGTCGGTGCAGCAGGCGCTGTCCAGCCCGACCCGTCCGGTGAGCAGAGAGTACCTGGAGCGGAGCTTCAGCCTGGGATCTCCGGTGTCCGCCGAGTCCTTCCCGTCCCTGGTCAGCTCCATGGAGCCGCTACTCTACCCGATGGCGGCTGAGCTGAAGATGCCCTCCTCCTCCTCCTCCCGGGATCCCCCCGATGAAGAGAGCGGCAGAAGCCAAGCCCCCGCTGGCCCCCGGCCATCCCAAGCCGCCCGCAGCCAAGAAGACCAAAGCCATCCGCAAGCTGACCTTCGAGGACGAGGTGACCACCTCCCCGGTGCTGGGGCTGAAGATCAAGGAGGGCCCGGTGGAGCCGCCCCGGCCGCGGACCCTGAGCTCCGGGCACAAGCCGCTGGGGGAGTTCATCTGCCAGCTGTGTAAGGAGGAGTACAGCGACCCGTTCTCCCTGGCCCAGCACAAGTGTTCCCGCATCGTGCGGGTGGAGTACCGCTGTCCCGAGTGCGACAAAGTCTTCAGCTGCCCCGCCAACCTGGCCTCCCACCGCCGCTGGCACAAACCCCGGCCCCCCGCCACCGTCCCCGTCACCAAGGAAGAGCCGCTCAGCGACCGGGACACCCCCAGCCCCGGGGTCTCCGAGTCCGGCTCCGAAGACGGCACCTACGAGTGCCCGCAGTGCTCCAAGAAGTTCCGCCGCCAGGCTTACCTGAGGAAACATCTGCTGTGCCACGCCTCCGAGGAGCTCCTCTACTCCGAGGAGCGGAGAGCCAAGAGCCCTGGCCCGGTCAACCTCAGCAGCAGCGGAGGAGGAGGCGAGTGCCACCCGTGCCCGGTGTGTGGGGAGACCTTCCCGGGGAAGAGCAGCCAAGAGCGCCACCTCCGCCTCCTGCACTCCTCTCAGCTCTACCCCTGCAAGTACTGCCCGGCCACCTTCTACAGCTCGCCCGGCCTCACCCGGCACATCAACAAGTGCCACCCATCTGAGAACAGGCAGGTCATCCTGCTGCAGGTGCCAGTGCGCCCGGCCTGCTGACCAGGGACTGGTGGGGGGTGGAGGTGCCACCCAGAGGGCATGACCCAACTTAGTCCCAGCCTAAAGACTTTGAAGGGATGGAGGTACCTCCCCGACATCAATGATGGACACTCACATTGGTCCCAGCTCAAACACTTTGGAAGGGTTGAAAGTGCCACCAAGACCTCAATGATAGGCACCCAGCTAAATCCCAGCATAAAAACTTTGGGGGGTGGGGGGGTTGAAGGTGCCATCCATGAGATCACCCAGCTTAGTCCCAGCCTGAAGACTTTGGAAGGGTTGAAGGTGCCACTCAGACATCATTGAGGGACATTCAGATTAGTCCCAGCTCAAAGACTTTAGAAGGGTTGAAGGTGCCAGTTCCACCAAGACATCAGTGATGGGTACCTAGCTAAAGACCTTTGGGGTTGAAGATACCATCCAAACATCGATGATGGGCATCCAGCTTAGTCCCCAGCCTAAAGACTTTGGGAGGATTGAAGGTTCCAATGCCACCCAGACACCAACAATGGGCACCCAGCTCAAAGACTTTGCCAGGGACTAGTGGAGGTTCCAGTACCCCCAAGACAGGTTGCAGAGGGTGTTACCCAGCTTAATCCCAGTCTGCTGACCAGTCCAAAGATTACACCAGTGCCCCCAGACATCAACGTTGGGCACTGCTCAGAGGGCACCTCCCAGCCTGCTGACCAGTCCAAACAGTATGGCAGGGACTGGTAGGGAAAGGGGGTGAAGGTACCAGTGCCACCCAGGTTGGGCACTGATCAGAGGGCACAACCCAGCTTAGTCCACACAGGGTGCTGCACATGTAATAGCCCTTCCAAAGGGGACTTCTTGTGAGTTATGACTCGGTGCCCTCTCAGTGCCCACCGATCACTATGGACTGCTGCCACTGTGGCCCCGAAGAGAACTGTGCCTTCTTTGATGCAACCAATTGCCATCTCTAGAGACAAGAGGTCTGCCAGCCATCAGATCTGCCAAACCAAGACAAGCATTGTAGCAGCCATAGATCGAAGTGCATTAAAATGTGGTTATTGTGCTTTAAAGCAAGACAGCATTGCCTAGCAATTCACTAAGGGGAGACCGCACAGTGGGTCCACCTTTGTAAGTTCCCCTGACTTTTTTTTTTTTTTTTTTCTGCTGTGCCCACAAGGGAACAAGCACACTGAACACATGGCATCTCTGTGTACCAAGTAAGGATTACTAGCAGCAACAAAGCAATAATGTCCTCTTCATGACTACATTCCAGACCTTCTGTAAACTTTTAAGGCACTATATGGAGGCACATTTTTTAATCATTGATATTTGCACTGCCGCAGGGCCGGGCCATCCCGCCTAGCCTAAAGGGGTAACATTATTGCTTTCTGCTACTGACTTTTCTTTTGTATAAAATAAATGCTTTGACCTGTGCTGTCATCCCCCTGAAAACACTAGTGATGCAAACATGTAATAGTGTTGTCTCTGTGTCCTATATCCTTTTTTAATTGGTATGTCAGTGGGCATAATACTGGCATCCGAGGATACCTGTTAAATTGTCTATTTTGTCAATGGGGGGTGGGGGGGGGGGGATGAAGCAAATGCTGTATGCTTAGCTGACAGATGATTCTACATGTATTTGGTGTGCTACACTACAGGTCATTGCAGGGTGGGCTCTTTCTTCTCGTCCTCGCCAACGTTGCCCACTCTTCTAGCAGTAGACAAGGGTGAAGGTCTTTCTATTGTTTTCTTGTAATTTTTTGTCTCCTTTTGGCTCTCGTCTTTTTTCGATGTGCTTTGTAGCCTACGGGTTCCTGTTTTTCAGTCGATCTTGAGAAATAACTGCCTTTAAATTGAAATGACTGACACGATTAGCTTTATAATGACTTGTGAACTGCTGGATTCTAGACTTTCTATTTTCTGTGAACAAGTCTGCTTAGGACTGGGAGAGGGAGACATCTATTTAGTCTTTAGCCACAAATGCCTTGTCTTTTAACTTTGTAGAGAGAAAGAAATAAAAACTGCCTTTTATGACTTCATCAATCTAGGGGCCAGCCAGGAATCACATCATACAACGCCACAACTTTTTTCATAAATACAAACTTTTTTTTTTTTCTTTTAAATTATGCTCCTCCAAATATTTTCTGGTGGAACCACAGACATGCTTTACTATCCAAATGTATATGTTGATTTTAATATTAATTATGTTTATTTATTCTTTTATTTATTAATGTGAATTACAGATATATTATTTGATTAAGGTTGTATTGGAGTTTTTTTTTTTTTTTGGTGTTATGACATTCCACTCTGATTTGCAACCATTTTATTTTTTATTTATTTGTATTTTTTTGTTTTTCTTACACAAAAATGAAAAGGTTGCGCCTTGATACATTCCTCAACAAATGGCTATTTGCATTAACTGTGCTTTAAGGGGCAGATGGCTCTTGTTAAACGGATAGCTCTTATATGTCTAGAAGCAATCTCTTTTCTACACACATTATTTTCTTAACTGCTAGCTATTTATAGAGAGCTTCAATAGAACTGTTTCAACTGTGTAACAATTTGCTATTCAAATAAAAATATTTTCAAATTCAAATCCATACCTGTTGGCTTATGTTTTGTGTGTGTGTTCAGTTATGCAGGGCAGAGTGTCTTTACTATCATGGATGTGTCAAGTTTAGAAATGCTTGTCATTTTTAGAATATGGATGGTTTACAAAAGACAAGTTATACAGGCTTATTTAATAACCAAATGAATGGATTACAAAGTAACCCATATCAACCAAACAGCACCCATTCTGACAGCTCCAAGGCAAACATCTGATTGGTTGATGTGAGTTAATGAACTGTGCACAATAACAGTTTATTCATCTGTATAAATTCAGCTTCAATCAATATAAAATAAACTTATGATTTTTACTTTCAATATATACTGGTGTTTTTTTTTTTTTTTGTAATGTAAAAAAACATTTTTTTTTTCATTAGTTTGCTCAACTGTGTCTACAAATTCAACTTCAATCCATTCAAAATCTGGTGACTTTTTGCAGTAAATAAGAAAAAATAAATGTTTTATTTATATATATATATATATATATATATATATATATATATATATATATGCCAAAAGTTTGCCCTCCTGTTTTTCAGATTTTCCCAGTGCAATCTGAAATCCTATTATAATTTTACACACATATTTCTGTATTAACTACATTAAAAAAAAATTATTGGTTTCTGTTACAATTTTGAAAACACGTCCTCTCAGTGGTGAATTAACTTGCAATACTAAAATTATTCTAACCTTCATTTCATACATTTTTTCCTGAATCAAAAATTTGAGTAGAGGCTGTTCATTTAGTGAAATGTAAATTTTGAAAAAGTGTAGGTTTCCTTTCCCTTCACTTTCAACATCCAATAATGTTCATGGGAAATTAAAAGGAAAAAATAGGATTTTTGCAGTATGCTTAGTTGATTTAAGTAATCGCAGCTTTATCTAATTTACTAAGCGCAGGGTTTGTATGTACACACTTAGCAAATCATCCCTACTGACAGCTAAAAATGTATTTTGAGATCTAGTTAAGTTATTTAAGAACCTAGTTCAAAATTCATAATAAAGAAAAAAACAAAAACTTGAAAAAAATTGTGCAACACTGTCAAGCTGGATCACTACTTTTGAATGATAAAATAAAAATTCTAAAGGTTTAGTATTTTCAGTTTTACATACTACAAATTCATGTTCTCTAAAATTATACATTACCTTATGGATGGTCAAAGGATGATAAAAAATATTACACATGCAGCCATAAATACCCAATATTCTGCGCTCTGTTCCATGCTTTTCTTTACACTTAGATTGTGTTTGTAAATATAAAATATATGATGATAAAACATAGGAGAGGTGGTATTATGTTATGTGAGAATTTTCCATCAACAAGTTATTGTGTTACTCTTGCATAGAAAAATTTTCCTACATATTTTTTTACTTTAATAATATGATATGGCCATACAATAAGTAAAAACTGATTGCACGCATTGATCACATGTGGCGGAAGGGGGGAGGTGTCCGTTCACACGTGTGATTTGGAAAAATGTATGAGTTGGCTGTTTTTTTTTTTTTTTGGTGTGATAATGCATGTTTTTGGGTCCATAAACTTCATTTGGAGTGTATGAAAATGTCAAAGCATGACGTTAGTCTTCATATTGGCAATGGGTCTGCTAGTCTGATTTACCAGATCTGTGATCAGAAACTGCTCTGCATTTCTGTAAAGGGTTAATATTATGCAGTAACTGTAGAAAATATAGTACCTTCACCTTTTTTTTTGCTCAGAGCAATATCTCAATAATGTTTAAACACCTGTCCTGATAGTCACAGTGTCAGAATCCAATCAGTGGATCATCTTTCTAAATATACATTCTACTCTACACAGTAAATCAATGTTTTCTTCCTTTATTGATAAAGTTGACTGCGCTAAAGTGTATCTAGACACAAAACCAGATATTTTAAAAAAATAAGGAATCTTAGCTACATCATTTTTATTCATTTAGATGTTTGTTACTTTTTCACTGGATGCAGCCAGTAACACACGTCCCACTTTAGGGTGGCTACAGTCTATCATAGTCCTTGATAGTCTCCTTCAGCATACCCACAATCTCTGACCATCTTTTTTAATATATCTGCAGTTTCTGACCATCTCCAGTACCATGTCTGCAGTCTCTGACCATCTCCTGTATCATGTCTGCAGTCTCTGACCATCTCCAGTACCATGTCTGCAGTTTCTGACCATCTCCTGTGCCATGTCTGCAGTCTCTGACCATCTCCAGTACAATGTCTGCAGTCTCTGACCATCTCCTGTGCCATGTCTGCAGTCTTTGACCATCTCCTGTACCAGGTCTGCAGTCTCTGACCATCTCCTGTATCACGTCTACAGTCTCTGACCATCTCCTGTATCACGTCTACAGTCTCTGACCATGTATTTTATTATGTCTGCGGCCTCTGACCATCTCTTGTACCATGTTTGCAGTCTCTAACCA